AATTTCACCAAATTATATTGACAATTTGTAATCCCTTGACATTGTGTTTAGTTTAAAAGTATTTTACTTTTTCAAAACCTTTAAAATAGAAATAATATTTAAAACTGTGCATAATTTAAATATTTTTAATTAATTAATGTTTATCAAAATATGTTATTAAAAAATACATATTAAACTTCAATAGATACACAAATTTTTACATATAATATTTATTTATGTTATGTTGATTCAATATGTATTATTGTGTAACAAGTGAAAAAATGAGTTCACAATTAAATATTTCTAATATTTCTAATGAACTACAAGACAATTTAAAACAACAGATTAAATTATTTTATACTTTCCAAGATAACAAACGTGAATATAATATACTGTTTGTGACATTTGACGACATTGTGTACGGCATGGGCACCAATAATGAGGGTCAGCTCGGGTTAGGACACAATACATCTATTAAAACTCCGGTTGAAGTACCTGAACTACACCACAAAAGTATACAACAATTTTTCAATGGATACGACTTTGTATTGGCTGTTAATACCGATAAAAAAATATACAGTTTTGGGTGCAATAAAAAGGGTCAATTGGGACGGGATGTAGATAGGGATGCGTATCATACACCCGACGCTATAATATTCCTATCAAATGAACACATTATTCGTCAAATAAGTTGTGGCTATTATCACACAATTGTGTTGACAACATGTGGACAGGTATTTGGGTGGGGCTATAATAAATGGGGACAAATTAAGTGCGGACAAAATAGTAGTATAGTATTCAAAATTGCATCGAAACAAACGGAAATACTGTTCCCGATCAAATGCCAAATTATTAAAGTTACATGCAAAATATCCACGTCATTTGCTATTACATCCGATGGACAGGTGTTTCGGTGGGGTAGGAATGGTCAACGAGTTATAACCAAGCCGCAAATCATGGAAAACGTAATTAATGTCAAGGTCGTTTGCTCTGATTATAACGATCAACATATTTATTTGCTTTCAAACGATGGATGCGTATATTTATACAATTTTGATGATAAATGTATGAACCTAATTACACACGTTATATTCAATGAAATCAAGCAAATTTATTCATATACCAAGCGCCAACAAAATATAATAGCTAGGTCTGGTAATAAAATATATGAAATAAATACATTGCGAATAATTGAGACAAATTGTATATCATTTGATGATTACTATTCACGGGATTTACAAATCACTTTGCCGATAAATACAATACAAAATGGTATAAGTGGCTTAAATGATCTAAAAGTTACTTGTGGTAAGTTAATTTGATAATTTTAGTTGTTCCAAGTATGTAGTTATAGAATTATTATAACTACAAATTTGTACTGTATTCTTTATTTAAATGACTTACTATTAAAATAATAGGTTGTTTAACATGCTACGGAATAATAAAATACTATAAAACAACAAATATTTAACTATCAAATTAAACTGAGTTAAATTTTTTAATATGGAAAATATATACGAGGCTAGTTATAACCAGTGTGAACAACCGTCCTTTATTGGAGAGGACAGTCCTCTATTTAGGGTGTCTGTCCTCCGTGCTTTAAATGAGAAATAGTGGACATTGAATGTCCTTTGTTTGTGAAAATTATAAAATGCCTTATTTAGGAAAATAATTGCAACATAAAACTGCTAACATTATAATCATAATAAAAACATTATCATTTAACTAGAATTCATTTAAGTGCAGCAAATTTATATGAAAATATGTTTAAAAAACTAATGACAAATCTATTCAAAAATTTCTGTTGTTAGTGAGATCAACAGAAAAAATATTTTCAAAAAATTGTAATTCAATTCCTTTATAAAATATAATATGTGTCCACTATTTATCCTCTATTTATTCAATTATTTTATGAAAATGTCCACTAATTACGAAACTTGAGTTGATCACACTGATTATATCCAAAAGTGTCAATATGAAAGTCTGCATTTTATAATAAATTACTGTATATTTTTAAATATTGTATACTAATAACAAAATTTTTTTTATCAGATACAATTTGTAATTTACCATACGATATACCATTTGATGTGATATCTAAGCTTGGTGAAGGGGGTTTTGGACAAGTTTATAAAGTTAAATATAGAAATGACGAACAGTTTTATGCTATGAAGAAATGTCTATTAAATGGTAACTTATAATTTAAATTTTATTAATTAATTTATGTAATATGTAATTTTAAAATTTTAAGATTTAACTGAAAAGGAAAAACAAAATGTTTTGAATGAAACCCAAAGTCTGATAAAACTTCGGTCAGAGTTTGTGATTCAATACTACTATTCATGGATTGAAGACAACTGTCTTTACTTTCAAATGGAGTTATGTTTAGATAATCTCAACAATGTTTTTAAAATCAAGAAATCTTTGTTTAATGAATTGATGCCTTGTTTTGAGTTTTATATTTCTTTGGAGATATTTAGAGAACTGACAAAATGTGTTCAATATTTGCATGAATCGGATCCACAGATCATTCACAGAGACCTGAAACCGGATAATGTGTTGATTTCAATGGATGGAGACATCAAGTTATGTGACTTTGGTTTGGCTAAAAATGTTCATAATATTGATTCGTATAATATGTCTAAAGCTAACCATACAGGAGATGTGGGAAATGTAGACTATATGGCACCGGAAGCCTAGACTAAGGACTACAATCATAAGATAGATATCTATAGTCTATCCCTCATTGGGGCTGAAATTTTTGGGATCGACAAAAATAATATAATCGATGGCCTGTATGTTAAGTTTATTTAATTAAATTTTGTTCATTATATTAAGTTGATTATTACGTTTCCTATAGGACTGACTTAAGTGACCAATACAATATACATGTTAAATATTTGATGAATAAAATGAATGCATTATTGATGTCAATGAGTGTTAATATGTATTCACCAAATGGTTCAACAGATTGGCGACAAAGACCCGAATGTTCGCACATTTTATCGCAATTGCAGACATTTATGACAAATACAAGTAAACCAATTATTGAGCAAAATGAATGGAAATTATTGTACACTATTATCGAGAGTAATTATGATTTTATTTATAAACTCTTTGTGAAAAGCGAACCATGCTTACTACGAGAGCCAATTAAAGTAACAAATACAGGTTTGTAAAATTCAATTGTCCAATTAGTTCATAATGTTTAATATTTAAATTTCTATAAACATCAGGGAATGAAACAATAAATATCTTGATGTTTGATGTAACAGACAAATATTTATATTTGAAAGGTGATACGATGTACAGGGCGAAACACCGATCTACTAGACAAGTATATTCGTTATTCAAAATACAAATATCAAGTAAGATGTGGTTGAAAATATATCACTAATAAGTTGCTCAATTATTAATACAGGGTATTGCAATAGAAGCACGTAAGTGTACAAGGTAATTATTCAAAAACTAATTGAGATATCAAAACTATAAACGGGGATTAATAAAGTAAAGTATAGCATTTTAAAATCTACATTGGTCATATTTTTGTTTCATTTAAAAATAGTATTTAACTAGACACTCTTGCCGAGTAGAATTTCAAGCTGAGCAAAAGGAGATAGGTAAAAACTTAACATATAAATTTTGAAGAGAAAAGTATGACCTTTCATATGTGGTATACTATGCTAAAATAGGATTTGTGGTTCTCTCATAAATCAACCTTGAATATAAGGAATTATTATTAATGTCTATGGAAGATTCAATGGTAAAATATTCAACCATGAATTTCTATTTAATGGTAGTAGCTTGTTTAACATAATAAATAGCAAAAATGAAGAGGGTGATATAAGCTTTAAAATGAGGTATATATAGTTAATGTGTGAAACATATTTCTCGATATATATCAAATGACCCCTCCGTATGTGTGTGCACTACATATACTTTCCTGTTGTATAAATAAATGTATGAAAAAATTGTGTAATTCTTATCTCGGAAAGTTTTCTCGTTTAAAAAAGTATTTTTAATAAATACAGCGTGTTTCACCATGAGGTTCCAAGTTTGCGAGCGTATATCTCAAAAACTAGAAGGTATAGCTTATTGCTGTAAAATGTGTTTATAAGAGTAAAGTATAGGATTTTAAAATCTACATTGGTCATATTTTTGTCTTATTTAAAAATAGTATTTAACTGGACACTCTTGCCGAGTAGAATATCAAGCTAAGCAAAAGGAGATAGGTAAAAACAACATATAAATTTTGAAGAGAAAAGTATGACCTTTCATATGTGGTATGGTATGCTAAAATTGGATTTGTGGTTCTCTCATAAATCAACCTTGAATATAAGGAATTATTATTAATGTCTATGGAAGATTCAATGGTAAAATATTCAAACATAAATTTCTATTTAGTGGCAGTAGCTAGCTTAACATAATAAATTGCAAAAATGAAGAGGGTGATATAAGCTTTAAAATGAGGTATATATCGTTAATGTGTGAAACATATTTCTCGGTATATTGTAATTTAACTTAAAATCGCATTTCTTTCTATATTTTGCATATAAATATATTGCGAAATACAAATTTAGCTTATAATCTATATACCGAGAAATATGTTTCACACATTAACGATATATACCTCATTTTAAAGCTTATATCACCCTCTTCATTTTTGCAATTTATTATGTTAAGCTAGCTACTGCCACTAAATAGAAATTTATGTTTGAATATTTTACCATTGAATCTTCCATAGACATTAATAATAATTCCTTATATTCAAGGTTGATTTATGAGAGAACCACAAATCCTATTTTAGCATACCATACCACATATAAAAGATCATACTTTTCTCTTCAAAATTTATATGTTAAGTTTTTACCTATCTCCTTTTGCTCAGCTTGAAATTCTACTCGGCAAGAGTGTCCAGTAAATACTATTTTTAAATAAGACAAAAATATGACCAATGTAGATTTTAAAATCCTATACTTTACTCTTATAAACACACTTTACAGCAATAAGCTATATCCTCTAGTTTTTGAGATATACGCTCGCAAACTTGGAACCTCATGGTGAAACACGCTGTATTAGTGGTCTGCCTATTATAATCAACGGTCTCTCTCTCTCTCTCTCTCTCACTCACTCACTCACTCCCTCTCTCCCTCACTAATTCCGTGCACACAATCATTACCGAAACTGAGAGCACAGTT